CCGAATGATAAACTTTGGCGACGACAATGCAAAAAAGCAAAAAAAAAACAAAAAAACAAAAATGTGAATGAGAAATCAATTAGAAAAATTGATTTTTTGTTTGTTTCACTTTTTGGTTCTTCTTTCGTTCNTTTTGTTTTTCATTGTTTTCCGAATGATAAACTTTGGCGACGACAATGCAAAAAAGCAAAAAAACAAAAAATGTGAATGAGAAATCAATTAGAAAAATTGATTTTTGTTTGTTTCACTTTTTTGGTTCTTTTGGTTCATTTAAACAAATGAATCATGATGATGGTCACTTTGTTTGAAACAATCCAATCGACAAAAACATTTGACCAAGATGAAAATCATTTGAAACAAGCCATTCTTTCTTTTTGATTGATTGACTGATTTGAAAAAAATTTATAAATTTACTTTCGGTTTGAATTTGTTTAAAAAAACTTAATACTTTCGAAACAAACAAAAAACAAACAAAAAAAGTTTTCATATATGAAATTTTGAATATTGATTACTTTCTCTCTGTGTGTTTTGTTTTTTGTTGACATTATTATTTTCCCTTTCATTCGATTCACATCCATCCATCCATCAATCATTATTCCTGTCACGTTTCAATCATGGATTCCTTTTTCTTTAGTTTTTTTTTCTTAAAAATTTTCTTTACAATTCTTACATTGTCCGGTATATTTTCTGTGTTGAAAAAGAAAGGGAAAAAAATTGAGAATAAAAAACTGAAATTCGAGTCTAAATACACACAAACATCAATCGATTGATGTTTAAATAGCCTGAAAGAAACACATGGGTTCCATTTTTTTTTGTTGAAAAACAAATTTTTTTTTTTTTTTTTGTTTTTAAATGGACAATGAATTTGTTTTGTTTGTTTTCAATGCTTAAAAAATCCAAAACATCCACTAAACACTCGCCAGAACCACCGAAAAAAAACAGAAACAGGATATTTTTTATTAGAAAATTTGATCAGTTTTTCTTCTTCGTCGACGATCCGAAATGTTCAAAAATCTTGTTTTTTTTATCGTTGTTGTTGTTGTTACATGTTACATGTTCCAAGTTTGACATCGACATGAATGAATGGCATGTATTTGAATGAATGTAAATGTAATCGATGATGCTAAACACAGAAGACAAAAATGTCGTTTGTGTGTTTTATTCATTTTGCTTCTGGTATGATTGTCGTGATATGATGGATATACAACAACAACAACAACAACAACGACAAGAATATTCTCTATGCGAAAAACTGTATTGAAGAAAAAAAATGACTGAAATGTTAAAGGTTTTCTGTTGAAAAATCAAATCAAAAAGCCAAGTTGAAACATTTCATTTCGATTTGATCAACTGTCATTTTTTCCTGATGATGATAATAATTTATTCAAATATGATAATCAAAGAAAAAAAATTATTGATCATTGAAATTTGATCCATTTTAAGTTGTATCATCCTTATTTGATTATCATTCGAACGATGGTGATGATCATTATCAAAGTTTTTTTCTTGTTTTTCATTGATTTTTGGGTAATCGATTTGTTTTCAATCACACTTTTGTAACTTTTTTTCCTTAATCATATACGAAATATGATCTCTTCTTTGAATTTTTCACAATGTTGGCTTCACTGCATTGCATTTTCCTATTTTCCAGGAATGTGTTTTCCCTGGCAATTGGATTGAAGGGGGTAATGGTGGTGACAATAAGAAAAAAAATTCAAACATTTCCTTCGTTTTTCAATTTATTATGTAAATTTTTTTTGCCTTTCCTTTTTCGATCATAAATTTTTCTTACAATTTCGCAAAGAAGAAGAAAAAATTTTCCTTTGTGAAAAGAAAAATAATTTGATTATCATAATTATTGTCAATGTAATTGTTTTATATATTTATTGATTCTTTTCTTTTGTTGGAGAATATTCTTCTTTTGTCAGCAAAATTTTGCTATGGGAAAATTTTTTTTATTGAAGTTTGTTTTAGGATAATTTCTTCAACCAATTCTTCTTCTTCTTTGCCCAAAACAAACAATCCATTCCAATGGAAAAAGCTAATTAGTTTGTGTGTGTATGTGTGTTTTTGGTTCAATGTTCGGGTATATAAATTTGTTCAATTTGCTTACTTTTATTTTTATTGTTTTGTTATTTTGGTTGGACAAAATCAATGTCCAAGAATCAGTGTATATGTGTGTATAGCGAATAACGAATAATATTGTTATGACGATTTGATGTAATTCATTTTATCACACACAGAAACCAGATGAGAATCTGAATTGACTTTGTCTGAATTCATATGGTATTCATACATAACAGCTGTGTGCAGCGGCTATTCAATGTTGAATTCAAAATGAATCGAAACGGATGAAAAAGAATTTGAAAGAAACAAATGAAAATAGAAATTGAATTATATACAATAGATGTGCATAGAATGTTCATGAATTCATTGACTATATATTCAGCAAATTTCTTATCAAAAGAGGGGAAAAACAATGACCATTTTTTCCAAGAAGAATTCAAAAATTCTTCAATAATTTATCCATTTAAATACAATTTTCAAGAGGATCTTTCAATTTCTCTTCAGTGAACAAACGAACGAAAAAATCATTATCCAAATTATTTTAACAGACAAAAAAGTTTCTTCACAAATGTCTTTTGATGATAGAAGAAAATCGATGATTTATGTTTCTTTTCTCATCAACCAAGTTCACATTTCACCAAAAAAAAGAAAATTATTTAAACTTTAATCTTTTAAATGCATTTTCAGTTGACTTTCATAATATTTTAATTCCATCATCATCAATTATTATCGTTTGTCATCATCATCATTATTTTTATCGACTAAACTTAATGATGATGATGATGATGATGATAAAGATGTCACCATTGATCATTCATTCATTCATTCACATCATCATCATCGATTATAAAATGAAAGTAAAATGAACATTACAAATGAGAAATTGTAACAAAAATTATAAGAATATTTCCCGGAAACAGTGTTAACGAATGAAAATAAAAAGATCATCACATGCACCACATACAAAAACCATCGGCAAAGTTGTGATAGATAACCTAAACAGAAAAAGATATTCAAGATGGATGAATGAATGGATCAAATGATAAAATGTATAGAAAGGAAGAAAAAAACTAATTAAGTTTCTTCATTTGATATATGTGTTATGTGTGTGTGTGTGTGTGTGGTAAATGATTATGATAATAATCATTGTCATTTCAGTGATGAAAGTTCACAAGGAAAATTATTTATTTTTTCTTTTGGTTGGATTGTGATTTAATGAAAAAAAATCTATAGAATTTTATAATGAAATAATGGTGATGACAATGATAAACAACCACATGAACTAAACAAACACAACAAACATACATCACATTCAAACAAAAACAATAAAGAAAAATGTTTAAAAAATAGAGATTAAAAGATTTGAAATACCCAAATGAAAAATGAAGAATTCTAATGACAATGATATTTATTTGGTTGAAATATGAAATGTTTTTTGTTTTTTTGGGTTGTTTGAAAGATGAGATTTTTTTCCCTTCAATAATTCAATGTTTTCGTTATTTTTCCTCTATTGTTGTTTTAAACCTGGACTTAACAACAACAACAAAAGTGTTAAATGAAGAGGTTGTTGATGGGTTATTTTCCTAGAAATTTGATCCAAAATTTGTTTTCATCATACCATAATCAATCAACTGACTCGATTGATTTTGGATAAATAAATTTTTTTCAATCAATCAATCCTGAAAAACAACGAAAAACTTTAATTTTTTTTATTCAATTTTGAAAATTTTGTTGAAATTTAAAAAAATTTAAAAACGATAAATTTTTTCCCCCCCATAACATTGAAATTTCTCAACTTCCATCCATCCATCCATCACTCTCGAATTCAGATGACCGTTTCTTTAGGATTTTGTTTGGATTTTTGAATGGCCAAAAATTCTCGATTCTTTTGTTGTTTTGGTGGTGTTGGTGGTGGCGGTGGTTGAAGTTGATGATGAAGCTGATGATTTGTACAGCAACAATCATTCGATATCTGTGATGGATGATGATTATTATGATTATGATTATTATTGGGCATCGATCGTATCGAATAAGAACTAAGAATTTGTCCAGGATCATTTTTCATATCTTCAATATAACGTAAACAACAACAAACAGCACATATAACAATGAATACAAACAAAATAATACAGATTAAAAATATTTGAATATTTTTATCCAAAGGATTTGTTTGTTGATGTTGTTGTTGTTGTTGAATGTTACTACCGAATAAATCATCCGGTTCCAAATCTGTTGCATTCAATTGATGAATAAAACGAATCATATTTTATTTTCGTCGTTTTCGTTTCTGTTGAAAATAATTTGAAATTTGAGTTTTTTGCAAAATTTCTGATGATCTTGATCGATCGATAGCTTGAAAATGACTGAAAACTTTTTGTTGTTGTTGCTGACCAAACCAAACCATAAAACACAAAAACAAAGCAAAACCGGTTTTGTTGTTTTTCAACCAAACATCTACTGATGATGTTCATTGCGCAATCAATTTTTTTTGTTTGGTTGATTCAACCACAAAACAAAACAAAAATCGAAAGAAAAAACCTTCAAATACAGATGTAAGATTTATGTATCTAGTTTTAGTTCCTTAAGTTATTAAAATCTGTAATTCTGTAATTTTGTGTTTTTTTTTCATTATTGGTTTTTTTGATTATTTTATTGAAGAAGGGGGAACAAAAAAAACATTGTTTTTTTACTGGTTATGGAAACAATTGTTTTTTTATCTATTAAATGACTTGTGAACGGTTTTCTGGTAATTGTAACTAGAAAATTGTTAAACTGTCGTATAGAATCTGTCGTTTACACACACAAGTTGTTGTTGTTGTCGTTTGTAAAAAAAATTGAACCATATGGTTTATACATTATATTTTCGTTGTTGTCGTTGTTTCATCACAACGATTAATATCATCATTTTTATCGATTCAAAAAATGTTCAATGTTCAATAATGTTTCTACCCTTTTTTCCCATCTCTCTCAAATTACAAACAAGACATAAATTGAATCGATTTTCATATTTCGTTTCCAAAAAAAAAAGAAAAAAACTTATTTTCAAAGCAAAATAAAAATTGATTCTGTTCGATAAATATATTTTTTTTGTTGTTGTTGGTTGCATTGATTGATTTTACCCAAAACACACACACACACGTCAGACAAACACTGTTTTCTTCCATCCCTTATATTTGAAATATTCTTACCAGCACAAAAAATGGAGAAAAAAAAATCTGCGGTATTCATAATCGATACTTTTCTGCTTTCTTTCTCGATGATGATAACAAAAAAATCGTAGAAATGAAATGAATAAAGCGGTTGTTTTTCTCATCCCCGAAACGAAAAGAAACGAAAACGATTGACACATTTATAGTAATCATTCGCAATGATGATGATGATGATGATGGACATGTTTATAAATATTTAATGAAATTTTTTTTTCTCGTTTTCTTTCTTTCTTTCTTTCCAAATTGACAATATTGACAATTTCGTTGTTTGGCCGATTGTTCGGTTTATCCTGTGTTTGTGTGTGTGTGTGCAGTGCGGTGTGTTTTATTGTTTGAATGAAGAATATATCAGGAATGAAAAATCTGGCAAATAAAACCAAGTGAAGAAACGAAGAATTTCTTCTTTTCTTCTGTTGGATACTGTCAATTTTCGTTTTTTTTCCTGGTTTGAAATGCAATTGTGTGTGTGCGAAAAGAAAAGAAAGAAATTTCAATTTTTTTCATTCATTCATTCATTTCGATTATGATGATGACAGACAGCCGAATAATAATTGTCGTTCGAATTGAAGAGAAAAAAGTTTTTCCAATTTTTCAAATTTGAGAAACGAATATAGAATAATCGTGAGCAACAACAGAATTTTCCAGAAATAATTTTGGACGGAAAGAATAATGAAAATGATTTTTTCTTTTTTTCTTCAGTTTCATTCATAATTATCATGTGTTATCCTTGTTGTTGTAACTGTAAATCATCATCATCATTATGATTACATTTGGCTGATTGAATTTAGAAAATAAATAATAAAAATTGTTACCCAAAAACGATGATGATGATGATAGATCCAGCCAGCCTCGACCATCATAAAACACAAATCTTTAATGTTTATTATTAATAACCATTGCCACCACCACCACCACTATGTTTCTTTGTTTGTCCATTTTGGTTTTCTAATTCTAATTTTCTCTCTCTCTTTCTCTCTTATTACAGTTTCTAGCCAAGAATTCATGGACTGAAAAAAACCTTCAATGAAAATGATCTATCAAACCAATTTATGACAATCGAATGGAAAAAAAGAAAAAATGGCCAGAAACAAAAAAATGAAATTCAAACATCAACATTAACTTAACGAAACTTCTTAATTTGTTTAGAAAAAAAAACAAAACAAAATTATCAAAATTCAAAAACGAAAAATTCAGTAATTAATCAAATGTATCGTAAAAATCGAAGTACAGAATCATCATCATTCTATAGGAAAAGAATGCGTAAACGATTACGATTATAGTGAACAAAAATTGATATTTAATTTTATCTAGCAGCAATCACACTTTTTTGGTTATTCTTTATACCATATACATCAATCTGTTGTTATTCTTTTATTCTGTTCTTTGAAAACATCTTTAGATTTTTTGTTTTTGTTTTTTTTGCTGCTTTTTCCGGAATTCTTTATCACTATATTTCATTATATTCAGAACCAAAAATTGATTATTTGACCGGCAAAACATTTCGATATGTTTGCCAGTCAACAACAAACATTAAAATCCACTGTCAGTAGTAATACTACACCGATTATCAATACGATATCGGCTACGGTGGATAATCAACAACATGGATCAACCTTATCGAATGAATCGAAACCACTGCCATCATCATCATTATCAACACCACCACCACCACCATCATCATCATCATTACAGAATCAATCATCAAGATTCCATCCATCAACAGCTATTAATCCTATTCTTGTGCAACCAAATAATGCCTTTAATGCAGCATCAACAGCAACAACAACAACAACAATTGATCCAACAAAATTAACACCACCAATACGATTGAAAAAACCATCATGGCCAACGATAATATCATCGAGTAGTAGTAGTGGTCAACAGCCAACATTAACGAATAAATCAACACCACCACCACCGACAACAACACCACAACCTCAATCATCAACATTACAACCACCATTATTAACCGCATCAACATCAATTAATATTGATCAATCAACAGCTGTACAGCCATTATTACCTCCAAATATTGCACAATCGACAACAAACAATGCTGGTGTATCTCCAGCAACTCCATCAGCTACAGCAGCAGCAGCAGCAGCAGCAGCCGCATCATCATCTGCTAAACAACAACCAAAACGAATTGTTCGTAAAGTGCCAAAAGTACCGGAAAAAGCTGAACGTGTATTATATTGTCTTCGTTTAAAGAATCCAATACGTCGTCTTTGTATCAATATTGTTGAATGGAAATATCCTTTTCACTCGAAATAACAAGTTTTTTTTGTTCCCTCTCCTTTTTTCCAGGATTTTCCGTATCGATCGAAAATAACATGCAAAAACAAAAACAAAAAAAAGGGTGAAAAAAAACTGAACCCGGGAAAAAAATCGATATTCAAAAAAAAAAGATGATAACAAGGAATAGAACAAACAGAAAAATATGCAAATTTCAACTAGATTCTTGCAAATCACCAAAACCAAGCAAAATGAAATGAAAGGAAAATAGATTTAGATACATATATTAGTCCAGAGGAAGGGACAAACATTTAGTTTGTCATGGACCATGATCATTAAATACATGAGATACACGCATAGAGATAGATGTCTATAATGATACAATTTTATCCGAATCAAAATCTGAATTGTTTTTTTGTTGTTGGTTTTCTTTCGATTCAATGCATCTTCTCATCATCATCATCATCAGGGATAATCATCGTTTCGTTTTCCTTAATGATTTTTGTCGTTTCACATAATCTCTAATGTTTCTTCATTTTCTGAAAACAGAACCAAATGAGAGAAAAAGATAATGATCATGTTTGGTTGGTTGGTTGGTCGGTTAGTTTTAGTTTTTTGGGTTTTGATTGGTGTTTTGACATGTCAATTTTATCCATTAAATCTTTTTTTTTCAATATTTTTTTCAAGAAAGAAAAAGTCATACTTGTAGGAAACCAATAATTTTTTCCAGATAAAATTGATGATGATTTTTATTTGTTTTTGGACCAGAAAAAGCTTTAACAGCAAAAAAGAAAGATGATTCAAGAGAAAATCCTTCATTTTTTGTTTGTTTGAAAGAAAGAAACAGAAAAACCTTAAAGAAGAAACATGATTTTGGAGTGGTTTTCCAAAAAAATTGTCAATTGAATTTCAAAATTGTTTTCAATTTCGTTTGTTTTGAAATTGATATTGTGAATCCAGTGACAATTCATACCGGGTTTTTTTTACCCGGTAAAACCAATTTCAATTCAATTTTTTTCATAATGAATTCTAGATTTTTTTCATTTCATTTCATTTCATTTTCCTTAACATTATTTTTTTCCCATGTTTTATTTATTTACGCCATTCGAATGGCTTATTCTAGTAACCATTTGTTTAAATTGTATTGCATTAGGTGTTTATACACCTTATCCGGGTGGTGATTCCAATGATACTAATCTTGTTTTGGTAAATATTATTTGTTTGTTTGTTTCATCAAAGCTCTCATTGAAAATGCTAATCATTAAAAATTTTTCATTTGTTTTTTCATTTAAAAATAGGAAAAAATTGAATACGTTTTTCTTGTTATATTTACATTAGAATGTATAATGAAAATATTGGCATATGGTTTTATTGTACATCAAAGTGCCTATCTACGTAGTGCATGGAATTTATTGGATTTTATTATTGTTGTTATTGGGTAAATATTGATTAATTTTGTTTTTGTCAAAAAACTTTAAAATCTTGCTTTCACAACCAAAAACAAACACACACACACACACACCGATTCAGCTCATTAAATGACATTAGAAATCTAATTTAATTGAAAATTTAAGAAAAGAAAGATTCAATTTCTTCACATTTTTCAATCATTTTGCCCATAATAAATTCAGATATATAGAAATCCAATTGGATGGAAAAAAAGACATTCATTCATTGAATGTTTTGCCTTTTATATGAATTTGCACATGATTCATTTTTGTTTTTTTTTTTTTTTTGGTTTTCAATTTAAGAAATTGATTCCATTTAAACAAAAACGAAAAAAAAATGGGAAAAAGTCACGTATAACATACACACACAGACAATCATTCTATAAAGGAGATAATGATTTTGAAGAAACAAACAAAACCCTGGAATCTAATAAATAAATAAAAGAAAGAAACTTTTATTAAGTTTTAGTAAACAATTCACACTGAACAAACAAGCCAATTGAAAAACAGAAAAAAAAATCACCCTATATTTTTGTTTTCCACTGTTTCCTCCTTCAAAACAAATAAGTTTAACGGTTTTTTTTCATTCATTCTTTCTTTCTTTTCTTTTACCGAAACCGCAAAAAAAAATTTGGAAAATTTAAAACAAAAAACACCACTGGGAAAACTTTTCAAATTCAAATTTTCAAAAAGTCTAATATCAACTGTTGTGCAACAGATTTCAGCCGAAGGTATAGATGTAAAAGCATTACGTGCTTTTCGTGTATTACGTCCATTAAGACTTGTATCGGGTGTACCAAGTAAGTGTTGTTTTTTGCTTTTTGTTTTTTGTTTTTCAATTATTTTTAATTTATTTACACTTTTGATAATTTTATTTGTTTTGTTGACATTTTCCGTACCAAAAAAACAAATGAATTTGACATTTATGAAACACAACAAACAAACCAAAAAATATAGAAAAAAAGCTTTTTACTTTTTGGATTTCCAATTGATAATATCTCCAGAAAAAAAATATTGTTTTTTTTTTTCGTTTGTTTGTTTGTATTCTTATTCAATTTTCATTCGATTAGATTGACGGAACATTTTCCATTTGAGAAATTTTCCATTTTTGTGTTTTCCTTCATTCAATTTATGTTTATGTTTTTTTTTCTCGATTTGTCAGAAAATATTTATTTACATTTTCAAAACAAATGTTTTTCATTTCTGTCTTTATTTATGGCATCTTTTTTCCTCTAAAAATCTTGATTATTGACAAAGTTTGAAATTTGAGTGACCAAAAATCATGGCCCAAAAGATTTTTGACCAAAAAATACCATACTTACTTTTGATTAACTTGATCGAATCAAACAAACAAAAAAAAAAAGATCAAATGTTTGTGCAATGGATTTAGGTTTCTTTTTCATCAAAAAACTATTTCAACATTTCAATATCCATTTAGATGGATATAGTGGTAAAGGAACAACACAACAAAAAAATGTTCGATTTGAATTTTGTGCCATTTTGGTTTAGAAATTAAAAGAAAAAATGAAATGAAAATTGAACATCCCCAAATAACGAAAAAACGAAACGAAAATTTAATACAGAGAGAATGTTGTTCAAGTCATTCATTCATTCATTCATTATTTACCCTTCAAACAAAAAAGAATAAAAACGAAAATCGCATCCATCAAGTTGAAATCATCAACAACAACAACTTAAATGTACTACTGTTATCGAAATTAAAAAAGGAAATGGACCATAGTATGGAGATTAAAGTTTCAAAAATGGTAAATGCTTTTGCGCTATATCTTGTTCTATTGATGGAATTAGATGAACGAATTTATTTTGGACAAATCGTTTTAAATACTTAAAACATCAACTGATGAAAACGGCGAAATGGATGGGGGGATGGTGAAAATCNAAATGGTCTCCTAACCTTTTTGGGTTAGTACTATCCCAATTTTTGTTGCAGCGGCTCCTTTCCCCCCTTTTTATCCTCCCCAAATAATTTAACCCCATATTAATTAAAATTTAATTGATTTTATTAAAATAATTAATTAATTAAATTAAAAATAAAAATTGTTTATATTTTATCTTCCGATTGTACTCGTCTTTTCGTGCTATTCATCGCTATTCATAATTCCAAAAGTGAATGTCCAAATTTCAAAGATAATCCGATAAAACAGGTTGCCAATATCCAATATCAGTGATTGATACCAATGTCCATCAACTATGATCGATAGCTATAGCCATTCCAACAAATGATGAGATATAATGGTAAATACCTGACGGAAAAAAATATAAGTTGTCAGTTTGTTCATTTCATTTAATCACATACCATTCATTATCATTCCAAATCGATGTCAATTGTGCCGATATTCGACTGATTTAATCATATTTGTCGATTGTTTTGTTGGTCACAAAGTTTCACCCGACACCGAATTCAATAGGAAATAGTTCAGACCATGTTCTCTAATCCTAATCTAACCTAGCCTATCCTATTGTTGAACATTATCAAACTATTCTTGAATCAGATGCCGATGAACAATGAAACCAACAAATCAATCTGGAATATGATAGTCAATCGAATATTGTTTCGACATTCATTAGTAAAGACTTGAGAAACTAAAGTGAAANAATTGTGCCGATATTCGACTGATTTAATCATATTTGTCGATTGTTTTGTTGGTCACAAAGTTTCACCCGACACCGAATTCAATAGGAAATAGTTCAGACCATGTTCTCTAATCCTAATCTAACCTAGCCTATCCTATTGTTGAACATTATCAAACTATTCTTGAATCAGATGCCGATGAACAATGAAACCAACAAATCAATCTGGAATATGATAGTCAATCGAATATTGTTTCGACATTCATTAGTAAAGACT